AGCAGCAAAAGAAGGAAAGCACACGCAGAAGGCACTAGTCTTTATTGCAAAGATGTGGCCATCTCTTGGGACCTCAAAGACAACAAAGTCTTCAAGGCTCGTACCGTGGCTTCACTTTACCAGTGTCATTTTAAAATATGCTCTGCAAAACATTGGCAAGTTGAGCAGACACATTGAACTGGCATTTTTTTCTGAAGCAAAACGCTTTCTCTTCCAGTTAAAAGGTCTTTAATGCTTACTGGCAAGCGGACATAGATACTTTAAAGATACAACCATTAACTCACAAAATTAATGTATTTTAAATAAACATGAATAGGAACATAGAACAGGGCAGCAGTTTGGTTTTACTATCAACAACGGAAAGCAGCTGTTTAAAAAAAACAACTAAGAGCTCTATTTAACAGTCCCTTATCTAAAGCAACCCTATTCTTTACTGCTTCATTTCAGAAGTCAAGAAAAACAGATACAATCAGCATCATCTTACTTTGACAACCACACAACTGCAGCCCACCACTTTGCGAGGTTTTCCTTCTCTGTCGATCTTGCAGAGACCCACCCATTCACCCAGCTTCTTGTTGTCATCGACCTGTGTAAAACACGGCATCACATCAGAACCAGCCACTTCTAAGGTAACCAGGCTCAGCAAAGCTCGCTGTACTCTCAGAAGCACTGGGTAACGGGTGGCTGCTTTCCTCACGAGTATCAGTAGAGGGAGCCAAAGGATCATCATTGTACAGCTTGGAAGTGTTTCCATTTGAAGCAAAAGTCATGTTAAGACTCCTCCCACGCTCCATGAGCACTGGCAGCATTAACTCTCTTATTATACAGGACACAAATTTTAACTTTGCAAAATACATGACCCATACTTTGCCATTAACATCCAGTTTTTGAGCTGCTTCTGTGACAACCACACAGAACTAAACCCATCTCTGCTACCAAGAATTTAGCTTAGGTAAGCCATATACAGAGTTACAGAGTAGTGTTTCAAAGGTTCAGCTTTCCAGACACTGAAAGCGGCTCACATTCCAAGCAGGATAGCTGTTCCAAACTCACGTGCGAAGTCCTGATACTCACCTTTATTAAGTTGATCTGATGTTCTGCACAAAGCGCTTCGACTAACTTTACGTAGGTGGGTTCATCGCAATTTGAAGCCAGGACACAAAGATGGGCTTGGCGTCTAAAAAAAGTGAGAACTGACAAATGTAGCTTCAGACACTGCTTAAGCTTTCTTTTATAATCTAAACTGCAAAGAACAAAACCCAGCATTTCTAGACAATCATGTCCTAAGTTTAATTCCTGGTTTTAAGACACCATATGCTTTTGAAATACTAAATATGTGTTTGCTACGATCTATTACTTTTCACATTTTTCATACACATAACAGACTACTCACACATTATTAGCTTTATTATCAGATTCTGTTCCAGTTTTGGAAGTTTCTAAGTCCCACTAAATAAATTCTCAGCCATCAGAAAAAGGTGTAATGACTGGACAAACACTAGGTCCCATAAAGAACTGGTGTCACTATTAGAAAGCAACCAAGTTACAAGTTGCTTTTTCTTGTTTACCTCAGATTACAATAATTTAATATTAGAATTCTAATTATTAAAAGCTTCCATTTCCATGTCAAGTTGTTACAAGCTCTTCAGAACAATCTTTTCTACTTACATTCCAAAAAGCTGCTGTGACAGGGCCCCAGTTCTAATTGGGATCTGTATACTGTGGTACAATGTTAAGAATACCAAAGGGATACCTGACAACAGAGAGAGCTGTATGGGTCTTCTATACTTAACCTGACACAATTTGACCACTGCAAACAGTCGTTTTTCACTACTGACTTCATCATGAGTTTCATCAGAATGTTTCAGAAACGTTTCCACGCAAGAACCATCACACACAAACCCATACAAACCAAACCTTGTACATACATTATTATCTTAACTCACAGCATACAACATCATAGCTGAACCCAAAACAACTGTTACAAACCAGCTGTCAGCTACCCAAGTTGTATTTCTCTTCCTTTGTTTGCTACCTTGTCTTGGAGCTTTTGGCATACAGGTTTGTCAGACTGCTGTTCTCACTCATATGCAGAGTGAAGGGGTATCCGACAAATCATGAAGTCATCACCCAAACACTGTAGCATCACACTTAAGCGCCATCTATTCATAAAAGCATGTGCCTATGCATAGGCACACACACAGGTGTCTATGTATGCGCATACATATACAAACATATATATATGTTGCAGCCTTCCAGGACTTAAAGGGGGCCTACAGGAAAGCTGAAGAGGGACTTTTTGCAAGGGCATGTAGCGATAGGACAAGGGGCAATGAATTTAAACTGAAAGAGGGGAGATTTAGATTAGATATAAGAAAGAAATTTTTCACTCAGAGGGTGGTGAGACACTGGAACAGGTTGCCCAGAGAAGTTGTGTATGCCCCATCCCTGGAGATGTTCAAGGCCAGGTTGGATGAGGCTTTGGGCAACCTGGTGTAGTGGAGGGTTTCCTTGCCCATGGCAGGGGGGTTGGAACTAGATGATCTTTGAGGTCCCTTCCAATCATAACCATTCCATGATTCCATGATATATAAAAAGTACTTTGCCCTACCAAGAAACCATAACTGCCATGGTTGGCACATATATGACAAGTTTAATATCGTTTTGATATTCTACCAAAGCAATTATGTACAGTTGCAACACCAAAAAATGAAGCTAGCAAAAAAGTAAAGGCAAGCTACGAATTTCAGTTCTTCATAAAAACTGAACCAACTCTTCCAGGTTAACTCTGACGTACATATTAACCCTCACAATTAAAATTCTTATAGTTTTGAAAAGAGTTCATCATTTCTTAAAACACAAGGCTCTTGAGCCCCAGATTTCCATAGCTACATACTACAAACAGCACTCCATCTTCTTCACAAAACCAATCCACATGAAACCTAGATGGCACTGAGGTCACAAAAAGGGATAACTTAATACACTAGATGCTGCTATTCTTGAGTCACTGAGTTCAGCATCTGCATTTTAAGACCTCAAAGACCCCAAAACAGAGACAGGAAAAGACAAAAAACTCCTTGGCAAGAAAGACATGGTCTTGCAAAAGCTTTCAACTGAACATCTGCACAAGGCAAGCACCGTATGTGTTCAAGGTACCTCACCACAACAGACCTCACTCAGTTCTGCTATTTACCACAGACAAAATGGGAACAACACTTACTTGTCCAAGGCTTTGGCTGCTTCACGAATACCACGAGCTAGGCCATCATGGATAAGTGCGGTTTTCAGCACTTCTTGCAGGGCGGTGTTAACATCCATTACACCTCCAGCAGTAATGCTAAAGAGGAGACATATTATTGCTCTGATTGTGCCAACATCTTACAACCACAATCAAAAGCTTCCCGTTCACCTGCAAACATTCAATAATTAAAAAAAAATACGAAACACAAGCTAAACATACCTCTGCTATGGAGACAGGCTGAGAGAGTTGGGGCTGTTTAGCCTGGAGAAGAGAAGGCTCTGGGGTGATCTTATAGCAGCCTTCCAGTACTTAAAGGGGGCCTACAGGAAAGCTGGAGAGGGACTTTTTACAAGGGCATGTAGTGATAGGACAAGGGGCAATGGCTTTAATCTAAAAGAGGG